ACATTATAGTGTTAAGTTTTGGTTTTTTTTTTTGTCCTGGGAGACTATAATCCTTAGGTTGTCTCTCTGCATCTTGTCTTTGGGATCGTTTTGCTTGCATACTGAGCATATTTTCTTTTAATGTTATTGTTTTTTGCCTCTCCTAGATTGTTTTTCACTTCTGTATATTTGCATTCCTTATCTATTATCTCTTTTGTTTCTTTGGTGAGATTTGCCATTCAATATTCCAGTTTTTCTATTCTTTTTTGCTTATTTTTGGCTAGGAAATCAGAGTTAAGTGACTTGCCCAGGGTCACACAGCTAGTAAGTGCCAAGTGTCTGAGGCTGCATTTGAACTCAGGACCTCCTGACTCCAGGGCTGTGCTCTATCCACTGTGCCATCTAGCTGCCCCAGATACTGGAGTCTGTTTTTTGAGGCAATTAGGGTTAAGTGACTTGCTCAGGGTCACATAGCTAGTAAGTGTCTGAGGTTGGATTTGAACTCAGGTTCTCCTGACTCCAGAGCCTGTGCTCTAACCACTGCTCTACTAAACTGCCAGTTTTTCTATTCTGCCCATTATTTTTGTTGTTCAGGACATAAATTCTGCTCTCATAATTCAAATTTCTCTTTTGAACCACTCAGGAACATCATGCTTATGGTTCCATGTCTCACATTCCACAGAGTCCTCTCATCTCATAAAAGGTTGGGTCATTTTATTTGTTTTGCAGTTTTATTCACAGATGCCTCATCTTATTCACTAGATCTAGAGGCCATATTTCCTTCTGTTGTTACAGTTTTTTCTTTTGATTTATCTCTTTCAATTCAAGGTCTTTGAATTTTCTCATTCCTGAGATCTTTGGTAATTTCATTCCCTCCCTCACGCCATCCCACTTCTCCTATTGATTTTCCTCTATTCACCTTCTGACTCTGATGGTGGTTTCCTTTGGGGCTAGATTTCTAAGATTCTCAGCCTACTATTACGTTGGACAATTCACAGTTCACTGGCCTAGGTCTTTGCCCCAAATGACTTTTGAATGGTCAGAACTGACCCTAGCTGGATGTTGTACTCTTTCTTTCAGGCTTAGAGGAATTCTGCACATCTGTCCCCCAAACATATCGTCCTTCTTGTAGTCTTGTCCTGCTCCCTTTGTTCCTCAGTTCTCTGGCCCAGCGTTGGCAGTTCAGAGCTCTGCTGCACTGATACTATAGGGTTGTGGTCCACAGAGAGCTTTTGCTTCTGAAGGACTGTTGAACTGGCTGTTGTTGCCCAAGCAAACTTCCATAGCCAGGATTTGGGATCTCTATGGCATTGGAAAGAGGGAGGTGAGACTAGGGTGTGAGGTTGAGTTTTGTTATGAGTCTCAACTTGTGTGTCGCTTCCTTGGGTCTGCTAGTACAGCCCTGCTGCTGGTAGTGTAGAAGGTAAGGGAGGGGTGCTGAATGAACTCAGGGCCAGTGAGCATCAGTTCATGGTTTGTTTGTTTTACCTTCTTTTAGAGTCTGAGTTTCCTAAGCTTATGGAGACAGCTGAAGTTACTTTATCTTTCATACATAATTTTTGTTTTGGAGAGGTTTGAGAGATTGTGAGAATCAAAGAAATGTTGGTTCCTCCATCTTATTGCTCATACGACCTGGAATTTCCTTGTGTGTGATTCTTATGCATGTCTACTCTTCTCACTGATAGTGAATGTATTTGGGGGAAAATGTATCCAGGCATATTGGATATATAACTATATCTATATATCTATATATATATATAACTGACTAACTAGTAAAAGTAATATCTTGGTCAGAGTATGGTTTTGAGTGGATGTGGCCCCACAAAATTCCTCGAACCTGGAAGAGCTTTTTCTCAGGTCCCCACAAGGGAGAGGGGGTTTCTCTGGGTACTACACTTGAATAACCTTCATTAACACTCCAATTTGGTAATGACCTTCACTCACACTTTACATAGCAGCCTTTTGTTTCATAACTCTCTAATCCACTTACGTGATTTTATGTGTCATGGATATCTGTAAAGTAGCCTCCAATTAGATTTTAAGCTCCTTGAGGGCAGCAGCTTTCTCATTTAAACTTTGTTTCCTCTACTGCTTAGCACAGTATTCTGTACAGAGTAGGTTTTCAATAGATATTTGTTGTTGTTTATTAACTCACCATCTTTATCTAAAACCTATCCCTCTTCCAAATATGCATTTTTATTGAGGGACCTCCATCTTCCCAACTCCTCATGTAATATGAAATAATCCTAGACTCTTTCCTTTTTTTTTTTCCAACAATTAATTGCTGAGTCCTAGCAACTCTACCTTCACAATCTCTCTTGCATCTATCCCCTTCTCTCCACTAACATTCTAGGTCAGGCTCTTATTTCTTCTCACTTGAATTCTTATATTTATCTCCTAATTTGACTCACTGCTTCCAGTTTCCCACTCCAATATTTCCTGCACACATCTGCCAAAAATAATCTTCCTAAAACACAGGTCAAATCTGATTACCTCTCTCCATTTATCAAAATCTTCAATGACTTTCTGTTGCCTCTAAGAATAAAATAGTAACTCCTAAGGTTAGGATTCAGCTAACTAACATGTTTTGAGCGCAGACTATGTTCTAAGTACTGATTATTGATTGATCTGCTTAAGGAATCTCTAGGTCTCCCTCTCCTTTTTTCCTTCTCTGCCTTTCCTGCTTCCATACTCTCACTCACTTTCTCCACTCTAACCCAGGGTCATATACAACACAATGATTTCATATTTATCAACTTTTATTTTTTTTACTTTATTTTATTTTTTGTTTGTTTGTTTTTAGGCAATTGGGGTTAAGTGACTTGCCCAGAGTCACACAGCTAGTAAGTGTCAAGTGCTTGGTCTGAGGCCAGATCTGAACTCAGGTCCTCCTGACTTCAGGGCCGGTGCTCTATCCACTGCGCCACCTAGCTGCCCCCATTTATCAACTTTTAAAACGAGAAGGGACAAATAAAGAATTGAAAGAGGCTTACATTTATGTGATCTGAGCCCTACTTCTTTGAATACTTTTCTTTCTACCTATGACGACTTTTTGTGCTCAGCCAGGTGTGTCTCCAGATCATAAGGTCTATGTTATACAGTGAATCCTGGGAATGATTAACTTTCATTGATCTCCTCCCATTAACCACTTTACTTTTGAGCCAAATCTTTGAAGCATATTATCATAGTAGTTGATTATTGAGGAAGTTGGTGTTTTTGTTTTATTCTTGTAAAGAAGACTGATTCCAGATTTATAAGCATTTAAATTTTTCAAAATTGAAAAAAATGTAATTCATATGAAAACCCAGGTCATTAGGGGAGCACTGTCTCATTTTGTGTATGAGGTAGTTGAGGCACAGGTTCTATTCAATTTGGCAAGTTCACACAGTTAGTCAGTAGTAGAATTCATATTAGATTCCACCTCTCTAATCTTTTCAGCTCACAGCCCATTCCGCTGGTACCTGTGATTCCATTCTTCCTTGCTTTCATAGACTGAGAATAGTGCTGGACTCAGCTGTTTGTTGTTCATGTCATTTTTATTATTTTTTTAATTTTCTTTCATAGTGGACACATTTACTTGGTATTGAACAGAGTTCTTAATGCCAGTAGTTGGGATCATTACGGTTTTTAAACACCAAGCTACTATGTTCATTTGCTTTTGCATTGCACTGATCAACTTTTCTGTTTTTAACCAAACCAAATAGTTTTGATAATTACTGCTTTGTTAATAACTTTTGTGATCTAGTACTGCTAGGCTTTCATCTTTCTCATTACCCACCACCACCCTTGCCCTATTTCCCTTAAGATTCTTGACTTTTTGTTCTTCAAGATGAATTTTGTTAACAATTTTTTTTCTAGCTCTCAAAGTAAGCCATGGGTAGTTTTATATGCTTGGGACTAAATAAGTAATCTAATTAGTATTTTCATTTTTATTATATTGGCATGGTCTAACCATGAACAATTAATATCTCTCCAATTATTTAGGCCTGTCTTTATTTCTGTAAAGTGTTTTGTAGTTGGATTCATAGAATTCCTGTGTGTGCCTTGGTAGGCGGACTTCTGAATATTTTATGCGTTCTGTTGTTATTTTAAATGAACTTTCAATTTCTTCCGGCTGAGTTTTATTGGTATTATACAAATCATACCAATAAAACTTAGCAGGAAGAAATTGAAAGGTCTGTTTTATATTCTTCTACTTTGCTAAAGTTATTGTTTCAAATAACTTTTCTGTTTGCTTCAAATCTGACTTAAGACACATAACACTCACTAACCCTGTGACTCTGGGCAAATCACTTAACCCCAATTGCCTCACCAAAAAAAAAAAAAGAGTCCATAGGTTTAACCAAGACTGCCAAAAGGAGAGGAGTGATGCAGGCCAGGATGCAATGGAGGTTAAGAACCTCTGTTGCAGATGATTAAGTATAGTTAAGAAACACTTAAAAAGGATACCAAGTATAGGGAGTTTCTCCCCCACCCCTAGATAATAATAAACCTTTTTTTTTCCTTTCCCAACAAAATACAGCAATCTCATGATAGCTTAAAACCAAGACGGAATCTTTGATTCCAAGTTATAATTAAGCTCCATTTCCGGAGGGAGGGTCGTCAATTCAAGAGATAACTGACGATTCATGGATGATTAGGATCTGGGCCAGAGTCATTTCAAAAAAATGTTAATTTTATGAAGATCCTCCTTTTCTCCCCCTCCCCCCCAACCAAAAAAAGCTTCTGTGCGTGTGTGTGGGAGACTCTTGGTCATATGAGTATGTGTGTGGAGGCCTGACTCTTGCTCGGGTGTAAAGGTGTGCCTTCGTCTACGTCACTTTGTCTTCCACTACTTTGTAAAGTACCCCTCAGGTGGAGTTCGGTTTAGGTTGGGGAGAGGTGCGTGAGAAATACAGACCGCCCCGCCCCCCTGCCCCTGCGCGCGCTCCAAGCGCCGCGCGTGACGTAAGAGGCCGCGCGACAGCGCCCCCCCATCCTCACCGGTTTTTTTTCCTCTCCTCGCCACAAAAAAAAAAAAAATGGGGCCTTGGCTTGTGGGCGCCACCTTGTGGTTATTCTCGGCCAGCTTCGCGTACGCCACCAGGCAGCGGTCGCTCTGGTTCAGGGAGAAGAGTAAGCGGCCCCGCCCGTGCTTCGAGCTGTCTCCGGGGAGAGTGGGTCTGGCCTGGTCTGAGGAGGGGTGAGGGCGCCGCCCCGAGGCGGCCCGAGCCCTCCCAGCCCTTGAGCTCCGGTGACCACGGCTGGTGTCCAGCTTTGAAGGGCGTTACCGGGCAGGGGGGAAACTGGGTGCTCACACCACTCATGAGTTAGGGGTAGGGAGGGAGGGGGACAGTTTGAAGCCACCTATTGGCCCCTCTGGGACTGCAGGAGCCGGAGGCCTGGCTAAGGCCGCTCCATCTGCGCATGCTCCGAGGTTGGGGCGCCATTGGCCAGTCCCACTTAAGCGATTTCATAGGCCTGCACCAAAGCATTTGTGTTGTCCTTTATAAACTTAATGGTTTCCTTTAAAATTAAGATTAAGTAGTATCTGTGTTGAAGAATGGCATTTCAGAATGTTTGCAAATGCTTGGTAGGTTCAGCTTGCCTTTTCAGTTTAAAAAAATGTATTGCATCAATGCATCGAGAAATGGAGGGGTAGAGTGTGAATAATTTAGGAATAGAAGACGAATAGATAATCAGCTGATGCTTCGTGTCACCAGTTAAAATAATGCATCATTTCTGTTTGTATAGACTGTGGGACAGTACCACTGGTGGATGTGATTTCAGGGTCTCGAATTATAGGTGGTCACGATGCTCAGACTGGAGCATGGCCATGGATAGTTAGCCTGCAGTTTTTAAAAGCTTTCAACAAATCCGTTCATTTGTGTGGTGGATCCATAATTAGAGAAACGTGGATCCTTACAGCAGCCCACTGCTTTAAAGTTTCTAGGTATGTATTAAGCATTATTGCATACTATTTTGGTAACGAGTCAAAAGTTTTAAAATGATAATGTTCCTCTCCTATTGGGCTCCTAACCCATTTGTTTTAGGTTGTATACTTTGATGACAAGTAAGGCCAGATTCGATTGGAAGATTCTGTCACAATTTGTAAAGAATGAGTGACAATACAAAACAAAAAAACAACCAACTTCATAGACTAATGTTTTAACTTCATATATGGGACATGGTTATCATGCCTCTATTCATATGACTAAGGAATGCCTCTTTTGGGGCAAAGAAACTTTTCTTACCAGGAGCCCATACATTGAAAACAAAATCAATTGAGTACACACAAGTAAAAAAGCAACTTAATTTTGTTAGGACTTCTTTTTAAAAGAGGTTATGGTAAGGATAAAGGGTCTGATTCACCCAAAAGGGAATATTAAGCTTTTTTTTTTTTTTTTTTTACCAGAGTCAGGTTATTTTGAAACATACTTTCCATATCTTGGCCAGTTGAAAGATGTGGAGGGAAAGGAAGAGAAATAGGGAAAAGATCGGCAGCCATAGAGAATCAAAATAAGGAGCTTGGAAATGATGCCTTCTACAATGTGCTCCTAATTTCTTTCTCTTTCAAAACCCCACTTCTGCCCCCCACCTACAAAACCCAGTTACCACAACCACAACAACAACCCAACAAACACCTTGTGCTTTCACTTCTTCATGCGTTTGCTTACATTGTTTCTTATTCCTAAAGTCTAAGTACAAACAAAAATACATTTATCAAACACCAGCTTATTGTCTGCAAAGTATTACTTTAGGCCAGAAGTTCTTTACCTTTTTTATATAATAGACTACTTTGGCAATCTGATGAAATCTATGGATCCCTTCTCAGAATAATGTTTCTAAGGACATAAAATAAAACATATAGGATCACAAAGGAAATAAATTATATTGAAATACAATGATCAAAATACATGAACCTCTGCTCTTAACACTGAAGAAAATACAAAGTATAGAAGATCTTTGTTCTCCAGGAAACCCCAAATCACATGTTACAATATTATATCATCATCATAATAAAGTGCTATATTGGTTAATAATAAAGTAATATGTGAGGATCTTGAATTAGGCTTTATAGGATGAGTAACACTTGAACTGAAAGAGAGAAAAAGAGGGAAAACATTTCAAAAGTTCTTCGAGGGCAGAGTCCACGTCTTATCTATACTCATCAATTTTATGTAGTTTTACACTCTCAAAGCCTTCTCCGTTTTACTCACAAAACCACTATCCATTTTCTTAGATCTGGACCATTGTATCAGCCTCCTAATTGTCTTCCCCGTTTCCATTCTCATCGCTCTTTCAGTCCATCGAACTGCCTAAATAATATTCCTAAAGCATGAGTCTGTCTGTGCCACTCCTCTCATCAAGAATCTCCAGTGTTGTACCTGTTTAGTGATTAAAGCCCTTTGAAATCTGTCTTCAACCTACCTACACTTATTCCACATGGCCCCCTTTATGAATTCTACTTTATAGACAAAATGACTTATTTGTGGTTTCCTGAACTTAACATTCCATCTCCTGCTTTCATGACTTTGCACAAACTGCCCCTTTCTTTGAATGAATTGAAGGAAACGACTTTATTGCACTAGCAAGATCTTAAAAAAACTAAACCCCAGAGATTGAGTTTTGGTTTGGGGAAAATTTAGATTCAGGAGATCTCTGTAGAGGGTGAAGTGGGAAGGGTCTGCCCTCTCCTCCATTAACCATGACTTCCAGCAGCAGATGCAGCTGAGAGAGAGACACACAGGAAGAGATTCAATCCAACAATTTGAGAGTTATTTGAGAGAATTAAAGAAACAGTTGAAACACAGATGTAGAAATGCATTCACTCAAGGGAGGAAACAGCTTCAAGGAATAGGACCCTTGGCAGCAGAGAAGGAGGCCTGCTGTGGAAAAGAGTAGACCCTGGAAACCCAAGATGCTCCACCCACGGAGAACTGGACAAGGAGTGTCTGAAGAGAGAACGGACTTCCAGCACCTACAGTAGCAGGAGTTGTGCATTGCCTTTGCCTCATAGTATCCTGTTTCACAACCATTATACTTTAAATTTGATCCTACGCTTTCCGCGGATGCTGTATTTATTAGAAAGCGTACCCCAGGTTTAAGGGGAGAATGTTTTGTAGCTACTGTTGTGTTTTTTTTTTTTTTTACTATGCTATCTTAGTAAATGCTTTTGCTAGGAGTGCATTGTGTATCACACTGGTACGGCCTGTTGAGCTGCAGGTTACCTACCCCTAGAACCTAAGGCAGCAGCTGCCCTCTGGGCACCCAAGCCAGGAGTGTTAAGTCTAAGTTGGGGAAGTAGCCCAGAGGGAGTGTTACAGAGACAATAAAAATAATGTAACAAACATGGATATTTATTTATCAAAATCCCTTAAAATGTCCATATCTATAACAAAAGAATCATCCTCAAATTGATCCATCTATAGAGATTGCAGCCAACTTGTGATTGCCTGCCCAGTGTGACTCTTGTTTATATGCTCCTATAAATTCACTGAATGTTGAAGGAATCCTTCACTTTCTCCTGAAATAGCAAATGTACCAGTGGAGAATTCTGACTGTCTGACTATCATTTCTCACTTTCACACCAGCATATTCTCTCTTCCCATCAAACATTTCTTTGATTACATCTTTTAATCCTGTTCTTTTAAATTCATTGTTTATATATTGCAGTCTCTGCATACCTATCACAAGCCCTTCCATTTTTAATATGGAAGCTGTTGTTGTATTCTGTGTCTCACTGCTATATAATAACACTGGCAGAATGCTGGTATTTAAAAAGATGGGCCATTGTTTACATGGGAAGCTTGAAGTCATTAAAGGAACTTTGCAGTTTCCTAAATTCAATCCAGCCTGCTTTTCTCTTTCTGTTCCACTCTGTGCCCAGCTCACTGTCCATCTGTACTGTTGGTCCCAGATATATGTACAGATGGACAAGCTCTATAAGCTTTCCATCCAAGTGCGTAATCAGGGAAATACATAGTCTTCATCCACTCAATCTTTTCTGTCTGGCTGTTCAGGCCAAACTCTTTTGAATGGTTATGGCTGTCTTCCAGGATGCTCTTCACTGTTCCGGGACTTGATGCAACTACCACAATGTCATCTGCAAACAGAGATGTCTGGAAGACCTCAACATCCACAGGGGATCCATCTTCCACTTGGACTCCACATTGAATCTTCTCCATCGCAGTGTGAATACTTTTGGTGAGCATACATCTCCCTGTTTTATGTCTCATCTGATGTTTGTGATCAGAAGGTCACTGAACTGGGTTATTTGTGTTGTTATATCTTTCGGGGAATCTTGAATGATTTTGATGTATGAATTAGCTTTATTGGAAAAGAACCACTAAAGCAGTGCATTTATTACTTTACCAAATCAATTAACAAATAATCAACACAATGAGATCCTACATTCTCTACATCTTTTAGTCAATTGTGAAATGGTGAAGATGTGACCCATTGTTGACTATCCCTTGTGAAAACCTGTTTGTTTCAGTTTAATACCCTCATAGAAGATACTCTAGGTTTGTGTATAGTTGTCTTGCATAAAGTTTTTGTAAAGGTAGATAGGTATAAGAGAATAGGCAGATAGGGTAGTAGTTATTTTTATTTTCTCAGTCACCTTTTTGTTATTAATAAAGTCTGAGTGTGCTTCTTCTGTATTTCTGGTGCTTTCCCCACCTTTATATACCTTGTATGTAAATTCCTTAATGCTTTCATAATTGTGTCTCTTCTGGCATGCATCTCTTCTGTATATACTTGATCTAATCGGGCTCTTTTCCCCATCTTTGTTTTCTTTAGTGCCATTTCTACCTCTTCTATAGGACGACTATGATGTGGTGGTTCCACTGTCCTTGATGATGAAAACAGATTGTTACAGTAGCACTCTTTATTTTCTTTTTTGTTTTTCTTCTACTTGTTGTCCTCCTTTTTTTTTTATCCTTAAATACTCTTGATATGGTTTTGCCTAGTTAGGTCATTAGTCAAGTTTTCTTTTAAACACTTTTCATCATCTTCTGCTTCTCTTTGCTTTATCAGATGATATTTTTCATGATTGTCTATCATCTTTCTTTGTAAGATGTTATACATTAATTTATATTCTAAATTGGCTTTGACTTTGGACATCATTCTATACTTGTCAAGTAAGTAAAATATCAACAATTAAACTTGCATATAAAATTATTGTAATTGATGTTTTTTTAAGAAACAGAGACTTTTAATTTCTGTTATTTTAATACTTTCAGCTTCAAATTCTTTCCCTTCTACCTCCCCTCCCTTCCACCATTGAGAAAGCAAGAAAAAAAAAACCCATTACAAAAATATATAGTCAAATAAAACATCCTCACATTAGCCATGTCCAGAAAACAAACATATGCCTTAATTGTACTCTGAGTCTATCACCTTTCTATCTGAAGGCTGGCAGCTTGTTTTCATCATGAGAACTCTGGAAAGCAAACAAGTTAACCTTGTTTAAACCCTTATAATTGCTTGCTTATGCTTACCTTTTTATGTTTCACTTGATTTCTGTGTTTTTATGTCAGATTTTTTATTCAGCTTTGGTCTTTTCATCAGAAATTCTTGGAAGTCATAAATTTCTTATACTCAATTTTACTGGGTAAGTTATTCTTGGTTGTAAACCTCGATGCTTTTCTTTTTAGAATGTCACATTCCACGCTCCTCTCTTCTTTATGCTGGTGGCTACTAAAAACTTATGTGATCCAGACTGTGTCTCCTTGGTACTTAAATTATTTTTTGCCTGTTTATAGTATTTTTTTCTTTGGCTTGGGAACTCTGGATTTTGGATATAATATTCCTGGAAGTTTTAAGTGACTGGTAGATTCTTTCTACTTTTTTCTAAGAGATCTGGGCAGTGTTCTTTTGTGATTTCTTGGTGTATTGTATCTAGACTCTTTTTTAGTTATAGCATTCAGGTAGTCCAGTGAGTCTTAC